GTCATACTGAGCAGCTGAGGGAACTGAGAAGGGAGCACGGATTGATGAAGTTGTGTATCGTCCGCGTACATGTGATACAACATGTCAAACTGCCTGATCTCTGCACCCAGGGGCTGAATGTACATCGTGAAGAGCACCGGGCCTAGGACCGAGCCCTGGGGTACTCCGAATTCGATATTAGATTTCTTCGAAGTCAAGCCGTTTGAAATCACTGACTGCACCCGATTAGTCAGATACGATCGGAACCAACACAGGACGGTATCAGTGAGACCGAACGTTTGTTGCAGACGCTGGAGCAGTATGCCGTGGTCGAGCGTATCGAAAGCTGCCGATAAATCGAGTAAAGACAAAATCGATACCCTGCCCTCATCACAAGACGACAGAAGGTCGTTTACGACGCGCAACAGGGCTGTCTCAATAGAATGATGCACCCTGTATGCTGACTGGAATGGTTCAAACAAGTTAAACTGAGTGAGGTGATCCTGGAGTTGGCGGAGAACGACTTTTTAATCAAGTATATGTGTAGTAAGTTTGGTCAAGATCCATCTATTCATGTAGAGTTTTAAGCCTATTGATATTTATATAACTTATATACGAAAAAATGAAATGGATGGATATTATGAGTTCAGTAACCTTTGGTATTTGAGTATGGATAATCAATTGTGTACTATGTTTGGTCAAGATCCATCTGTTCGTGTAGGAGTATTTGTTGTTAATTTTATTTATAATATAGCTCATATAAGTATAAGGCGAAAAAAAGAAATGTTGGGTCCTCGGCCACAAACGGAATGTTATAAAAAGTTCATAACCCCTTAAGACTTCCTTACGGATAATGACGGATATATGTGCCGAATTTGGTCAAGATCCATCAATCCATGTAAAAATCGTATGTGGAACAAACACCGCCCGCCACAAACAAACCTTCACTTTTATATATATGATATATAAATTATTTTTTTAAAAAAAAAACACTTTTTAAAAAAGACTATCAAAGACGACTTTAATTTGAAACCACTAAAAAGTAGAGAATGATTGTTAAAATTTTCCTCAAATTCATTACGCAAAGAAAGTCTTGTGTAGCACTGTGGGTGTGGGCCAAACTTAATTATGTTTTATTTTTTATTATTTTTTTTAAATTCTTCTCAGACATTACTTAAGACTTAAGTTGTAATAACTTCAATTCTAAATGAGCGGTAAGTAAAAAATAAAACTTGGCTTTGGTGCAATGGCAAAAGTTTCCCTGTGAGTTAATAACTTAGATTGCAGTCATATTAAAGTTACTTAAAGGGAATATATTTTGCAAATTATCAGAAATTTGCAACCACACTATTCCTAGTATAAAGGCTAACTATTCAACAGGAACAGGAATAGTAGCTCGTGTGAATACCATTACTAAGGTACTTTTATGTTCAATTTCTGGCTAATGAATTTATTTTAAGTCACTTCTTGAAGAGTTAGTTGCTTAAAATATCTTATTTGTACTAAATATTGACACGCACTGAAAAACATATTTTATTTGTAACGTTCAAGTCATTCATGAACATGACAACCCACGGGACAAAGAGTGCGGGATAAAAAATGCAAAAAAAAGTTGTTGTTTTTTTTTTTTATTTTTTTTTTAATTGAAAAATATACCACAGCATCAAAACTTTAAAGACAAAAACGAAAAGTCGCACAAAAAAGCATAATTTATACCGTTTTTTAATTATTTTTTTCTGTTTTGAATTCACGACTAAACAAATGAATTACCTCCCTTTCGCTATGCGCACATTGACATCATTCATTAATAATAGGACATTTCAAATTTATCGCATTTTAAAATGAAAAGTCCGTTTTTCTTCAATTTTCGTACACTGGCAAATAACAATTTGTAAATAACACTAATGTGAAGTTGAAAATACATGTTTGCAAAAATAAAACATATTTACCGGGGGGGGGGGGGGGGAGGATATGATGACTATTTTTTTTTCTAGAAAAAAACTTTTGTCATGGTTTAAATATTGTATTTACTATTTAATTATGTGTGCTGAAGATGAATATGTACAATGTAATAAAAACATTTCCATTTATTTGGATCAATAAAGAATCTTATCTTATGTCGACTTGTTTGATAAAATAACACATCTTGTGGCTGATAACACAGTTTATTTGTAATACTAGGAGAGTAAAATTTCGAAGTATCAATTTATTTAGTGTCCTGATTTAGGCATGAGTTTACTTGTCAACGACACAAAAATGCAAATCATATTTAAAAATTGTAAAACCTATGCTGTACACTGTATGTCATTAAAAGTTTTGTTCTATGATGACAAACACCAAGCCTTGATTTAAAAAATGACAGCATCCATTGTTACCTTCCTATTTTATAAAGTACAAAATTATCCCCCTATTCTATGCATAAAGTAAAAAAAATCTCCTCAGTTTTTACATTAGTTGTGGACATTGCATAAATATTACTTTAGTTGCAGCAGTGATGAAGGTTAACAGCACTTCATTCCTGTAATTTTTTACTCTGGGAACTCAGAGTCATATTAAAGTTACTTATATGTAATGCTCATAATTCCACAACTTGACAACTATTCCACTCCTGTCTACAACTACAAATATGCTTTCTGATAAGCGCAAAAAATGCTATAAATTGTTTAAAATTTAACTTAATTGAAAAAGTGTTTTGAGATGGCAGGCATTATCTGATAATAATAGGAGGCACACTCAAGATGAAACATAATTTCACTAATAGCTATAGATATTTTTCATCGTTAGCACTGTTAGCAGGTAAAAGCTTGAAGGAAAATTTCCCAGATTTGCTGTAGAAAGTATTTTAAAACTCATATTCTTAATTTCATTCTTTATAAAATCTTGGTTTTACGTACCTTTATTGTTTTGAAAATGTAACTATTTTAAAATTTGGCTCATGTATAATAAACAATATATAACAGAGGACTGAGAAAAACAGTATGTAAAGAAAAACAATAATAAAGCTAGTGATACTAACAATATTTAATTTAAGTATAAAAATTAATTTCTATACAAATAGAAAAAAAAACTGTATCAACTTTCAGCAAATGAAACAGGTACACTCCTCAAAATACAAATATTAATTTACACTTACACAATTATACACCTCGTATAGCAAAAATCTCTCTCTATCTAGCTCTGCCTATTTGCTACGAAACCTGGCTGGCTTTATTTAGGAATTAAATCCAAATGTTCTAGTAAAGACATTCTAAAAACTGCATCACCCAAAGGCATTCTTTAGAATAAATAGAATGCATTCTAACAACCTTTTCCCAATCAGGGAAGTGGTGGGTATGGGATAGGGTTGCCAGATACGTGGACACCAAAAGGAGGACATAATAAAACAAAAAAGAGGACAAAGGAGGACATTTTGAATGTTTCCTTTGAGTCGTCCCGGATTAAACTCACAGTCAGCACAATGTTATTGTCATAGCTGCCAATTAAGTGTATCTTACTCTTAGTGAATCAACCAAGAAACAGTCACGTTAAAAAAAATAAATTCATGGACGCCTTTTTCAAAATGTCAAAAAACATCATTTAAATACCCAATTGTACAATCATTACCTTATAATGGATTCCAACTGCCTTCCAGTCAAAGTATTGAACAACGATCGGAAATATTTTCTGCGAACCGTGATTGCTAGCATCTGTCGAAAGACCAAAATGTGAAATGGCACCTAAAGATTTACCCAAATGATCAACAGAGTGGGGGCCAATTACCTGGTTTATTATTGCTTCAGTCTTTGTTTTTGCACAAGCAATATTTTTAGCGATTTTCCAAATCTTCAAATAATAAAAAAAAAATGGCACATAATCCGTTTGAACAACCTGGAAATCTCAGGGAAGATGGAGGGCAATGCTCTCATAAATTGTCCATGCTTGACTGTTTTTCCATTCACCTCCCTGAACTTAGCCTTGGTTCAGAATTGCACTGAAAATCAATCCGCTCCATTTGAAGCGCAATTGGGTTGGGCATCTTCCACATTGAAGGAGAAAGGTGGGCAAAAATTTGAAAAGTGGCTCAGTGTGTTTTGAATTCTGGAGACGTGAGCAAATTCTTCCTGTAGCTTTTCAATGGCATCAGTATGGCATCAGTATGGCATCAGTATACTTAATACTGAATGGTGTGCCCGAGTCCATGAGTACTTTGCATGTTGGAAATTGGCAGATGTTTCTCTAAGAACCATAACACAAGTTTTTTGCAGAATGCCTAACATTGTCAAAGGCAATAGTGAAAAGCTGCCCCTGTTCTTGTAACTTCCTGTTGAGTAAAATCAGCTCCTGTGTAATGTCAACAAGAAAAGCAAACAACAATCCCATCCTTCTCCATGAAAGCTTTAAATGCTAAAACGTGTTCAAACTGTAGGCAGAAGCAGGCAATATTTATGAATTATTGATGCAAAGGAAGATGTTATTGTACGGAGAATGAATTTTGATTTTTAATTGTAGAAAAGGCCTTTTTGACTGACCCTAATTTGAAAGTGACCAAACTGGCAGGCTCAGAATTTCCCCTCATTCGTAAACACTAGCCGCAATTTTAATAAGGATTCTTTGATACTGTGTCAGATTGCTACGGTTTACACAATTATGGTTGTGCATTTCCCACTAACTGAATTTTTTAACTTTTATCAAAACCACACTTTGGCCGCCATGTTTGTCTCAAAATAAAATGCTATAAAAAAAAAACTTTTATAAAAACGATTTTAACTATTTGGGCTTTTGCCTTCTAACCCTCACATGTGCTCTAACCTCTCCAACTCACCCTCCACTTCCAATTTCATCTCTACCCTGTACCCTAACCTCTGCCACCACACCCTCTCCCCCCCCACCCCCAAGCATTAACCATTTCCCAATTTATTCTCCCCCAATGCTCTTTCATACCCCCCACAACCTTATTCCCATGTCATTTTTACCTACCTTCTTCATATGACACCAACATTCATCACCTTACCCATTACATTGCATCTTCCCCACCCCCTCTTCCCCCACACAGCCCTCTACACCATGACCTCTCCTTTCATCTCATTACTTTCCAGAGCTGTGCTCCAGAAACTATTACCATAGTTACCTGGAGTGGAGCTCTAAAAAATCTGATTATACGCACTTGGTAAAATAAAAAGATTAATATTCCACTATTTTAAAGTAAATTGCAGAACTTTAGGATTGTCAAGGTGAGAATCTTCAACATAAGATTTTTAAAAAATGATGAACTTTTAGATGATAATATTAATAATAATGTGCAGATTATAATTAAAATTAGACAAAGACATAAATAGGTTTATCATGTAACCGATCTGCAAAATAATTTAATTTCAATTGACATAAAGGAACTCCATCTCGCTCTATTGAAAACAGTATGTTCTTATCATTTTCAACTTGCCATAGGTGGACATCTAAACTTTGACCAAGCAGGCTTTCATTGAGATAGACAACCTCCACATATTGCAATCCATTTGAAATGACATCTTCATCTATGCTATGTAGTAAAACACCATTTGTTTTTTTCTCGTCGTTCTCCTTACTGCGATATACTGTAGCATGCAGCGCATCCAATGCATAACCAATGTATGCAATATAGCTAGTGTGATGGTTTAAATCTGTATCTGATGACACAACCTGAAATATTAAGTAATGAATAACAATGTGCCTGCTTTATTTAAAAAAATCAACAATGTTTATTCATTGATGTTTCATTTGAGTTTTACTTACAGATTAACTTCAAACAATTTCTGACTCATGTAATTTATTTTTTCCAGGATTTCACAAAATAAAAACAATTAAATTCAGCTTCTATTTATATTCTATTGCCTTTGGTTTCTTGACATGAATGTTTTAAAATATAATCAAGGATATATGTCAAATAATGAATTAATGAAGTTTAAAAGGATGGTAATTTGTGAGAAGGATTAGTATGTTCCATGCCTTACCAAGTTAATATATTTAATGAACTTTATAATGCATTTCATAGGTGTGCTATTCAATTTTATTAATCTCAAGAGCAGTTTTACCCGACATTTTTTGCCCCATGTCCCACCTGAGCACCTATTAAGATTGAATGTCACCCCCCTCCTCACCTCCCACTGTGGTGGGGCTGAAAATGAAAACTTCTTGCTACTGTCAAGAAAATTAAATTTCAGTTTTGATGTCTGCTCTTCAAAAAGCTTCCCCACTTTTGTAAACACTGTTGAGGGAATCACATTATTTTTCAGAGAAAACTGACTCAGACTATCAATTTTTAGCAAACTGGCGCAGCATAGCAGTATTCGGGGGGAATAACTGGCACAAGCTAACAAGATTTCAGTTTTTTTAAACCATTTATTCGAACACTATTACTTAGCTTTAAAAAAATCAAACCCACTTACTTGAATCTGCTCACAAATTGTCTTTGTTGGTTTTTGAAATGGTTTGATAATGAGACCTTTAGCGTCACATCCTTTTCCTGCATATTTTGCTTTGAACCAATCTGGTAGGGCTAGAGGCTTCCTAGTATTTTTATCAACAGTAACTATCTGAAAAACATGCTTCCACAAAGGCTCATTCGATTCCCCTGGCAGGAAAAAACTTACAGTATTAGCCACAGATGTGTTTCCTACAAAAGAAAGAGCAATTTCTGCATCCAGGGTCCATTTTGGAACACGAAAATCATACAGTCTTTTTGACAGTCTGACACTTGTGGAAGTGACAAAGCACATTTTGTCTTGAGTAACTGAGAGCATGTCCTGAAAAGAACTTTCTCCATAAGGTCTTTGTAAAGTAGAAAGTCTTGCTGTGTTACATAGTGATAAAAGGCTTGTGACTTTTGGATTACCTAAAAAATATAGAGACCCTTTTATTTTAATTATCAAATGTGATGGTATATGAAATATAACAGTGATATATGAGATATAACAATGTACAATTAAAAATTTCTCAAGGCTAGAGGTTGAGATTTGATGGTATAAAAAATGTGCTGTTAATTTAAAGTATTTCACTAACCAACAATTAATTAAATCTTATTAAGGCTTGTAATTGCTGTTGCTGATTGAACTTGAACTTTTGAAAATTGTAATTACTGCAACTAGCTTTAGATTTATTTTTTTTTTACAAATCAAAGTTAGATTAAATAACTGTCTTTCCATCATAAATCATAGCATAATTGAACAAAATCCTAAAAATTCTTTAATTATTTGATACGCAGCTTGGAAAAAATTTAGCCCCTATAGGCTATTGCTCTAAAAACTAAACCTATCAAATGCATAGAATAAAAAAGAAAAAGACACTAAAGAATACTATTTAAGTGTGTGATGTACAACATTATTTATTAAAGCTTCTATTTTGTTTAGAATAATATTTTACTTTAGTCTACAGCTATTTTCTGGATTAAATAACTTTCTGGATTTCCTGAAATATGCCAGGGTTTAAAACTATTTAAAAAGTGAGCAAATTTAAGTTTCATTGAAATTAAAAATATTTTAAATTAAACTGTGTTGTGAGACAATAACATCTAAAAAATATCTATTTAGATAAAAATTATATAAATATCTCATTCCAGATATGAAATATCTAGATTTACAGCTACTGGTACCAGAAAATCATGAACAATTGAGACGGCTAATGGTAGCCTGGAATCTCAGCGAGTTACACAAAAAATTTCATTATTCAATGTACCTGAAGAAAATTATTAAAATTCCCCTATAACCCGCTCTTTAGACAAAGATCCCACTTGTTCCCCTAAAATATTTCCAGAAACATTGTCTTTAGAACGAGTATAGGCCTACATGGTAGATCTTATTTTATTTATAAGAGGCAAAACTTACCATCAAAATCTAGGCTTTCTAAATTTAACCCTGGGAGTGTTAATTTAGCATTTAAATATGGAGTTTCAGATACCCTAAAGTTTGTCACAGGCAAGTTGCAAAGCACAGATCTTTTCCAAAAGGATGCAATTCTAAAAAAATAGAATATAAACACAAATATAATGAGCATTGAAGTTTTTCAATGAAATAGTACTTGGTTCTAATTAGATCTAATGTGTCCACTGTTTTTACTTGAGTTTAAAGATCATAAAGTTGCATATGAAATTTCTTTTTAGATTATGGATAAAAAAAAATAAAAACTCAATATAAGGCTAAAATTTCTGTAAAACTGCTACTAAAATACAACTTTTCTGATTGCTGGAATTTGGCTACCCAATGAAAACTATGTAAAATCAATTAATTTTGCATACCCTGTAGTTTTTCTTTTAAATTTCACAACCTACATATCTTTTAATTTTCATTTTGTGTTGCACTAATGTAGACGGACAATTATGAAACCCATCCCTATTTTGCGGGTGTTTTCCAACTTAAATACATTAGATAGCATGGACTTAAGGGTATTATCCTGAAATTTTCTGCACAAATTAAAACCTGCAGACCTATTTTTTTCTGTTTTTTTGTCAGACTTAGTAAAAAAAAAAAAAAGAATTAATCCCTATGGGGGCTTGAGTCATAAATTTCCATACTTTGGCTTATGATATTTATTAGGTCTAGGTCTACTTTACATGATGTAATTTGTATTTGTTCCATGTCACACATTGACATGGGTCCTAGGTCACGCATTGAGATAGGCCCCATGTCACGCATTGAGGTGGATCAGTAATTTAAATGAACATCATAAGATAATATTTTGAATATGCATCTTTATGTCAGGACATCAGTGGTCAGGAGTAGCTGTTAAATATATCATCTAACATAGCACTTTATAGGGGCTGTTCATCAATTAAGTAAAAAATTTTTAGACAATTTTTGACACCCTCCCTCACCCTTGTCAACAACTATCAAAATTTCAAGCAAACCCACCCCCCACCCCAATATATATGTCAAAATTTGTCATAAATAACTATGGATTTTTTTAATGCTTCACAAAGATATTCGCCAGGAACAATTTTTTACATTTTGTAAACAACAATCTTTTTTATAACAATTAAAGTCTATGACTAGAGTAAACGTTATATTGCAGAATAGTTTAAGAATTAAACAGGTCTAAAAATTATTGTTACTTAATTTATTGTTAGTTTTTTTTCTTATTCCTTCAAAAATATATAGCAAATAATTAATGTATCATTCCTATATTATTATGGAACTGGCTGACATCATCCTTGTATAGTCAGTCAGTGTTATAATATCATAATTTTCTCAGTTAGTGATTGTTGCTTTCACCTCTTTACTTCTTTCTGTCTTTTGGGGGCATCCATAAATGACATCAAGTAAATTTATCGAATTTTGACTCCCCCTCCCCAATCATCACACACCTTCACAAAAAGTTAGACCCCCTATTCCAATATAACATCACAAACCTTTGCACCCCCTGCCCCTTATAAAAATCCATCCGTCCATACTGTCCTTTACAAGCCCTTACAAAAATCACCTCCCATGAATATCAAATTACTGCACCTGTGTAAGAAACATTTCCAGTGGTTCTTAAAATGGGATGAAAGCACCACCTGTGGTGCAGAAGACCCAGAATATAAATTTCATTTGCTGCCATTGCTAGTTGTTTCTGCCTTTAAATATAAAATCAGTTTTTATGCATTTCGAATAGCAGCAGCTATAAATTTTTTGGGGGTAAATTTTCTTTGTGCATTACCGGTACGTGTATTAATTTTGTTCTTGTATAGAAATTTAATTAGACAAATAATATGACAATAAATAAATTAATTTCATTTTAAAAATGCTATTTCTATTTAAATTATACAGGGCTGGGGAGGATTGCTGTTTATACCGGTATTTAGAAATTGAGAGGAGATGAGCACTGTGATAAATTTAAGAATCCCTCGCATATAACATTTACTATAAATCACCCCCACCCCTCGTCCAAAATCTTTCATTCCATCTCACTTGCCGCCGTGGTAGCCCCAATTCTATGAAAATTGTCAAACTTTATGAAACACTCCTCAACCATTTTTTTAATTGCCCCCATATACACTATAAATAGTATTCTATACTATAATTATAATTTAATTTATGTCATATCTAAATCTGACTTATTTACACATCATTTACTTTAATTTACTTATAAAAATAATATAAAGACTTTAAAGAATATGAAAATAATGTAGTAGCTTACTTAAATTAAGTTAGACAACAATGATAAAATTAATACTAATATGATAAATAAATAAATGTATAATTATACTGCCAGGGGTCATCCATTAATGATGTCAACAAAATGGTGGGACAGGGTTTGGAAATGTTTGACAATAGTTGACAAGGGGGAGGAGGTATATTTTGATAATTAGGGGACAGTAAAGTGAGTAAAAATAATAACATCGCTGCTTGAACTGATTTGCAAAATCTATAACATCTATTTTGCATCACAAGTCATTTTGTATTAGCAAGCTCAACAGCACCGACAACGCATAAGAAATTACCACCTGCTCTTTTAAAAAAAGGATTCGACTAATGCAAGTAGCTGCCAGGAGACAGAGAGAGCTTATGGCAATTATTGCTCACTCTGACAATGGTTCTATTTTAAGTGCTGAATGGTTAGATGAGGATGATGTTGACTTGTCTGGTTTATCAGTTCCGCAAGATGAAAATGACAAATCAGCACTATGCCCATTTTTACCATAGAGCAACACTTGGCTTATCCCTGGGAAGATGATAGCAGCTAGAAACTACAATTGTCAGCTATACTGACAATAATCATATTTCTAATTCCACACACAAAAAAATTATATTTAGTCTTTAACAACCTTTTCATTGATTCTGCATTATAAAATGTAAGTGTAAAACTTTGTAACTTATTGATTAATAAGCTAAAGATGCAATAAAATGTTTTTTTTTACAATTTTGGGCTATTAAAATAGATCAGCATAAAAGTAAAATGTATTTATATATTTATTTATATTATAATTCATTGGGGGCAGGGGGTGTGTTACAAATGTTGACATGACATCATTACTTGGGGGGTGGGGGGTTGGGGTTATTGAAAGTTTGATGGTTGTTGACAAGGGAGGGGCGTCAAAAATTGCTTAAAAATTGTTGACGTATTTAATGGACGCCCCCTACATCTAAATTATGAAAGTAAATGTTTTAAAATGATAAAAAAAATATGCTTAGCTTAACTTAGTAACAATAGGCCTATTTCAAATTTAAAGCCAATAAAAGTATACTTGGATTTAGAACATACTGACTAAACATCTCTGAATTTAGCTATAATTTATTAACTATGACTATAACTTTAATAAAATAAACTATGAATTACATTAATAATTATAAGGCCTTTGCTTTTGGTGAGAGTGAGAATAGATAGTGTTAGTGTTATGTTACTTAGACTAACTTAGAGTTACTATTGAAAATTGAGTATACAATTGTTGACCTAAAGTTTTTTATAGTTGTATTGGCATGGCCTATATGTACTATGACTATGAGTATGATTCACACTCATAGTCATAGGCCATAGTTAGTATGATAATGAATGACAACAATGGTGTGAATGTGTGTAAGTGTAAGTGTAGTGTAGGGTATGCCTAGTAAAGATGGTTTAAGTTTAAATTAAAATAAGTCTTAATAAATAAGTGTGCCTACCTAGTAGCACCCATCAATTTATTAGTATTGGCCATCTAATTTTATTTAATTTGAAATATAATCCTGCTCAAAGTTAATTTTCAGTAATTATAATTTACTGATTTACTGAAAATTGTCAAGTAGGTTATAATTTCACCTTTACTTTGAAATTGACCTTTGCCTTATCTTCAATTTTACGTTTTATCATCACGGAAATGGGCTTCTTTGGAAATGGATAAAAAGGAATTCATTGTTACAGTTTAATAATCAAAATCAAGTATCGATAAAATTAACTGTATCAAATCTCTCTCGTTCTTGTTGTTTTTAAATTATTTAAAATTTAAAAATTTTATTTCTTAAAAGAAGACAGTCATAGTAATTTTATCCACCTTTATTGAATATTTTACTTAACACTGATATTTAATAATAATACTCTGGGCTGGTTTTTATCCATGACCATGGCCATGAATTTGAGTTGTATATCGGATCGCGAAATAAATCAACACCATTGCCATTGCCATTACCGAGGACTCATTTGTCATTTGACATTTACATTTTAACGGACTTAAGTTTGACGACAGATTGATGCTATTTTTTTAATCTTTTAAATGAATTTAGTATACTCTAAATAGGTACTCAAAATATTGAATAATCATCTTCTGCTAATCAATCATGGGTAATGTTACCCAAGGATTTAACAGAATAAAACTCTAGCTTGTAGTGTCTCATACGAGCATAGGCATTTGCTATTAAATTTAAGTATAATCAAATTTAAATGATGAGCATCACAGTAATTCGGTAATTAGTATTACTTAAAAGTTGGGTTCTTTTTATTGTTTTTTTTTCTTTTCTTTATACATATTTTGTAAAAGCTCTTAAAAAAAATAACATTAGTGAAATAAAACGTTCAATTTTTTTATTTTTTTTCTTGTTGACATATTTTTTGTTTTGTTATAATAATGAATTTAAATAGTCTAAATGATATTTGTTGTTTTGTTTTGTTTTAATTAATGAAAGCACCAGGCAGCATCAAAAGTGTATTCTTTTACTTTTAACTTTAAATTAATTTTCATTAAGTTTTCCTCATGTTTCCATTCTAATTCTAAATTGTATTATATTATTTGCCCTTTTCAATTCCTGTCGACACTTTCGTCATGGTTCAATGAGGCCGATGTGCGCATTCGTGCGAATTTATGGTTTTAGCAATCAAGAAAGGGATATTTAATTATTCTAACAGTCAAATACCATCAACTTACAATGTCAGTTGTTAAAGTGCATAATTATTTTAGACCTTTACAAATACCAACAGGGCAATGCCAAGGGGGTGCTAACTTCAAAGGGCGGCAAAATCGTCATTTTGAAACAAAATGTGCGTTAATTTAGTGCATTTGGGGGCAGGGGGGATTAAGGCACCTAAATTCAGACTTTGTCCATGACGCAAGGTTTTTGGAGGACATTATATTCTTTAAACCTTCTGGACATTAGGCTAACCCTTACCTTAAAACACAACAGATTATTGACCGCTGCCAACTGGCAGCTTTAGATACTTATTGTATTATCTCACCCCCACCCCAATCATGCAAATGCTCCATACCTTTCTCCAAACTTCTTAGATTACGTTTTCTCAGCCAGACAGGTCAAGACTTTTTAGATAGGCAAATGAAATGATGGACTTTTATAACTCCAGATCGTATCACGAAACTGCACGTATCTCGGCACTCAGTCGTATCAGCACAATCGTAATGATGCTTTTAAATCTCGGTTTAAAAAAATAAGGATTGAACAAAACTCATACTTACCTACCACCATCACAATGGGATTGTCATTGGCTACAAGTCTAAGTGCAAAGTTTCACCACAAAATCTTGACGGGAAGTGGGTTAATTCGCCATCTGAAGATTTTGCCCTAAACAAACAAAAGCGAAGTTAATATAAAGGATTTAATTAAACAACCCCAAAAACAAAGTTTCTTGTTTTAATCCTATATATATATATATATATATATATATATATATATATATATATATATATATATATATCTTTTTTTTATTTTTTTTTTTAT